AAATTTTAGGCAATGAAGCTAGAATGAAAATATGTGGTCTGGAGGTGCCTGGGTGACTCAGTCATTTAAGCATCCGACTCTTGGTTTAGGCTCAGGTCATGATCTCATGGTTCATGGGTTCGAGCCCTGCGTCAGGCTCTGTGCCGATGGAACGGGGCCTGCTTCGGATTCTGTCTCCCTCACTCTCTGCCCTTCCCGGGCTTGCGCTCGCATGCTCTCTCCCTCTCTCAAAAATAAAAAAACATTAAAAAAAAAGAAAATATGTGGTCTGTTTATATCTGTTAGATGAGAAATAATTGAGTCAATTCTTGCTAAAACAACTGAGAAAGCTGAAGCATTAGTAAAAAAAAAAAATTCACCTGAATTTCTTTAAACTTAATAATCATGTTATATTACAGAAGTCCAGTTTGTAATATCATGTTTTCTGGATTATAATTTTTTTATGCATAAAATAAAAGTAACCTATCATTAATAGTAACAGGAAGTTATAAACTTATTTTCTCAGGAGTGGCTAGGGGTACTTGTAAACTTAGTAATACTTTAATTATTTTTTAATTATTTATTTATTTTGAGAGAGAGCATCTGAGCAGGGGAGTGGCGGGGGGGGGGAGGGGGGAGAGGGACAATTCCAAGCAGGCTCTGCACCAGCAGTACGGAGCCTGATGTGGGGCTAAAACCCATGAACCATGAGGTCATGACCTGAGCTGAAACTAAGAGTTGGATGCTTAACCGATAGTGCCACCCAGGCACCCCAGTAATACTTTAAAAAAAATTAATTTTTTAAGTATACACCAGAATAAGTATAGTCACCACCTGTCATCATACAACATTATAGTAATACGTTTTTGACTAATCACTTTTGCAACCAATTTTTTAAAGTCAGGATTGGTGGAATAACTAAAGTTCATTGCCTTGTTGGCAAAAGGCTATGGTAGATGTTTACAGTGCATTTTTATAAATGTAGCTCTCTTAACTGTTTTTCAAAATGTAGCTATTACATTTTAGCCTAACTTCTGCCTCTCTTGGCCATTAAATGATAAGTTTACTAAACATATCCACAGGTTACATCCATCAGTTATATCCTTAGGCCAAACAAAAGAGGTCACCTAACTCACTTTTGGTCCCTTAGGTAATTTACTCAGGTCCCATTATCTGACCTCAAAGTCAAGGTTATGAGAGAAAAACACAATGTAAATCCCAGTAGTTTGGAGGTGAATTAAAAAGCTCCCAAGTCAGTACTTCCCTCAAATGTTAAATAATTCACTGTGGCATTATAGATACAAGCCTCCAGCAAAAGTTACACTTGAACAATTAAAGAAGCAGGAGCCAAACAAATGACTGCAGGGGTAGAGAAACAAATTAATGGTTTCTCATAGTACTGTGCTAAATTACATTTTCACATTAACAAGTATGTAAAACGCACAAGCATCACCAACGACTTACCAGATCAAGTTTGATTACAGAAAATAACCTAGAACAACCCACCAGGATTATTTGCTAAATGTAACTGTCGATTCTATACACTTGAATATGAAATCCATTTATACTATTTATAAAGTTTTTATACTCATAATGTACCACCTACTGTTTTGCAAAGTTCTTTTACAACTGTTCATATTACTATGACCATCTGCCAAATGTGCTCTGTTCCTGTAAAGGATCAGAAGGTGATGCAGCTGTTTCTTAGTTGCTAGATAACAAATTCACAACACAAGGTCACATCACGGTGCACTGTGCACATACAGATACCAGCACCTGCATAGTATAAAGAGTATACGCTTTAGAGCAGAAGCAGGATTTAAATTAGAAGATTTTAGACAAGTCTTAATCTCAGTATTAGATTATTTTTCTGTAAAATGGGAATGATTCATTTATGCAACAAATATTTATTGAACACCTATTATACATCAAGTAGTACTTTCCAAGGCTTATTTTAGGATGAGAGAAAATAAAACATAGCTGGTGTTCATCAGAGGTATGTATGGTTAACCAATTTCAAGAGCAGAGGCCTGGCCAATTAAATAGAGTCAAAGTCAGCAGACTGAAAAGCAACAGAATTCCTAAAGGCAACAGAGATACATGGGATACAAGGTGAAAATGAGGTCCATTTGCTTTCCAGAGACTAACAGGTTATTGGTACTTATTACAGATCTTTATGTATTTTCTCTAGTTAATTTAACTGATAAACTCAGTCAACAACTTTCTATAAAACTCATAGCATAATGTTTGAGCTCTAATTCAAACAGATTGGGGAAGGACATAGATGTGTAAAAGATTTGCCAAGTTACTTTCCATTCAGAAGTTTTGCAAAGACATACAAGCATAAGACTGTTTTTGGTATTCTAATTTAATGGATAGTCTAACCTATATGTGACATAAATTCTTCGAATTGGATGAGAAAAGCTGAATGGAGGGGCTCCTGGGTGGCTTAGTCAGTTAAGTGTCCGACTTCGGCTCAGGTCATGACCTCGTAGTTTGTGAGTTTGGGCCCCGCATCAGGCTCTGTGCTGACAGCATGGAGCCTGGAGCCTGCTTCGAATTCTGTGTCTCTCTCGCTCTCTATCCCTCCCGACCTTTCTCTCTCTCTCTCAAAAATAAATAAACATTAAAAAATTAAAAGAAAAAGAGAAACTGAATAGAATCAAGAAAATAACATGAAACTTGGAAGAAAAAGTACTGTAGCTGGAGCCTCGACTTTTCTCATTTGCCAGTTGTGCCACCTTGAAAGTCTCAGGATGTTTGAATCTCAGTTTGCTCAAGAGTAAAATAAGTATAACGACATCTCTCATCTAAAGCATTTTGTGAGGATCAAATGGGATAACCATCATAAAAATGATCAGGAACCTACAAAGCACTAAGCACACATAAATTATTTCACAGTGAGTAGGAACTGAAAATGACACTAAGGTATCCCTTCCAGTGAAGATACTTGTATGGATAAATGGTAAAAGGTATACAAAATTATCCTGACCCTGGAGGAGGGGTCATCTGTAGCCATGATGTTAATAACTTTGCCTGCTTGCTTGTTAATGAGGAAGGATTATCAGACTTCTTAGCTGGTAAGCAATAGTCATCTCTGAATATTATATAAGAAAAAATGTATGGATAAGACTACTAGGAATAAAAAAAAAAAAACCCTAAGGTATGGATCAATTTTTAAAGTACATATGTAAGATATATTAACCATAAGTCAAACTTCCTAGAAATGCTTCCTTTGGTGAGGAAAATTTCCTTGTCACCCATGTTTTTAGAATGGTTTTATTTATTTTCATTTGAGAGAGAGACAGAGAGAGAGAGAGGAAGAGAAGGGCAGAGGGAAAGAGAGAAAGAGAAAGAGAGAGAGAAAGAGAGAGAGAATCCCGTGCTCAGAGACATGGGGCTCAATTCTATAATCCTGGGACCGTGACCTGAGAGGAACTCAAGAGTTGGACACTCAGCCGAGTCACCCAGGCACTCCTGGAGTGGTTTTAATTTCACATGCCAAAGTCCACCTGCACAGGCTATCTAGAGGCTCTCTAGAGCCTTTTAATAGTGTCATGTACAATACTAAATTAAATAAAGTTATTGTTGATACACTGTTACTAAAAATATGCAGTGATTTAAAAAAATAAAACTGAAAATTTTAAGTTTGTTTTATATGTAGCAAAAATGACTCATACTCATAAATTTTTTTTAATGTTTACTTATTTTTGAGAAAGAGAGAGAGCATGTACTCTCGTGTGAGCAGGGGAGGGGCAGAGAGAGAGAGATGGGGACAGAGGATCTGAAGCAGGCTGTGCACTGACAGCAGAGAGCCCGATGTGGGGCTTGAACTCACAAATGATAAGATCATAACCTGAGCTGAAGTCAAGATGCTCAATCAACTGAGCCACCTGGGTGTCCTCTCATAGATTTATTGTTTAGTCTAAACATATGAGAGAAGAGAAAAAAATTTCCTTTTTTTTTATTAAAAAAAGTTTTTTAATGTTTATGTATTTTTGAGAGACAGAGACACAGAGCATGAGCAGGGGAGGGGCAGAGAGAGAGGGAGACCCAGAATTCGAAACAGGCTCCAGGCTCTGAGCCGTCAGCACAGAGCCCGACGCAGGGCTCGAACTCACAGACCGCGAGTTCATGACCTGAGCCGAAGTGAGACGCTTAACCGACTGAGCCACCCAGGTGCCCCAAGGAGAAAAAATTTCTTATCCTAAGTAACTTTAGTAAAAACCTCTTCACCATAAAAAGAAGCATAATAAAATAAATGATGCAACATTTGAAGTATACTACTTCTCCTAAAATGATAGCTGCATCATTATTTTATAACTAGGTATCATTCTGAGTAGGCTTAAAATCATAAATCCTAGAGTAAATCTCTATAAAAATACAATAATACCATGATAATCAAGGAGAGGTAGTCATGAATAGAAATTTACCTTTTTTAATTTTAGGGAGAGAGCACAAAGGGGGTTGAGGGGCAGAGAGAGAGAGAAAGAGAGTCTTAGGCAGGCTCTACCTGAGTGCAGAGCTCACGGCGGGGCTCAATCCCACGACTGTGACCTGAGCCGAAATCAAGAGTCAGATGTTTAATTGACTGAGTTACCCAGGCACCTCATGAATAGAAACCTATAAATGCCCAGAGTAGAAATGAAAGTTTTCAACACAAATGTACAGGGATTTCCCAGTTATGCTTGGAGCTGCTAAGTCTGTCAGACTTAACAGCAATAAAATTACATTAATAAGAGGTGGGGATTCCTGGCTGGCTCAGTTGGAGGAGCATTCGACTCTTGATCTCGGGATTGTGAGTTTGAGCCTCACACTGGGTGTACAGACTGCTTAAATAAATCAATAAGTGAACTTTTAAAAAGAGAACAATAAAAATACATTTTAAACCTTATAAAATATTTTAATCTATCCTTGAATCAGAGAATGACAAAAAACTAAATAGTGATTTCCACTGACCACTGTTCAGAAAGAAGAAACACCATTTAGAGAGCGATGTCAAAAGACTAAGTTCTTCTTACCATGAATAGATCCCACTGACCATATCATAGTTCTGACATGATGCATTCATGCTGCTGGGCCCAGCTGCTTTAGAAATAAGTAACACCACCAAGCCCCTCAACTGGAGGTTATGCCGGCTCTCATGTACAAGCCCCCTGCCAACAAAGAAAGAAAAGGATTAACATAGTTTCACAGAATCAGTCAGATCAAGTTAGGAAATTGCTACCATTCACCTATACTTCCAAAGTCAGAGAATGGGACTTGTTTACAGAAACAGAATTGGGGGAAGAGCTAACAGGAGGAAGCCATGAGTTCAGGAATCAACTAGAGAAACCCAGGGCTGGTTTTAAAAGCGACAGTCTCCAATTGTGGGACCTAATGATCTGGCTTCCTCCTGTTTCTGGGTTTTCCTACGATCTGTACCCTACATCTCACAATCTCAACCATCTGCTCAACCCACAATTTTAAAGTGCTTTATGGTAGCTGACAGCAACTGAAATACAAATTGTATGGCTTAGATGAAGTGATGTTATTTGGTGATGATGGTGGTAAGGGAGAGGGGCAAAAAATGATTTCTGTCTTCACACGTAGAGAAGATACTCAGAGAATTAAAGTGACAAACTCAAATGACTTAAAAATTTATTTGGTAAGTAAAATGGAAATGTATGCCATCAGCAAGTGTTGCCATTTCCTATTATTTATGGAAAGCATTATCATTCTAGACAACAATATGGCTTTAACTTAGCATGTCATTTTATTTTTGCTATGAGTATTGAATTTCCATAACTTTTACTATAACTAAGGCCAGGAATACATGTTTTGTTTTGTTTTGTTTTATCTCCAAGTATTGCAAATGGGTGTCACACAAGAACTAAATGGCATCATCAGAAAGAAAGAAAGAAAGAAAGAAAGAAAGAAAGAAAGAAAGAGGAAGAAAGGGAAAGAACGAATGAGCAAAAGATGGACAATATATTATAATAAATTAATATTTAGAACAAAGCTCATGAGCACTAATCAAATAGGTATTATGTACATGTTATGAACATAGTTCTTGAATGTAGTGAAAAAAGCATTAAAAGTCTGTAATATAATACTCCATTAAATTATTAAGTCTTCCTTCATAAATTCTGAACAAAGAACTAATTTAAATTAATATAGCCAAAATTAATGAGTTAGTTCATTACTTAAGGAAAATTTTTGCCCCTTTGCCTTCAAACAAATTTTTAAAAAGGTCCCCTTTGTACCCTCATTGGTTTCAAAATAAGGCAGAACTTCAGGTTCTCTGAAAAGGAATAGATATAGCTCCTTCTCTAATTATATTTCTCCTCAATGCAGTAAGTGATCATCAGCAAGTTTGAGGCATTAGTAATTTTTAAAAAGAAGTTCTAATTTCCTAGGAAAAAAAAGTTAATTTACAGCCATTGTTATATCACAAGAGCAACAAAGAATCATCAGAAATATCCAAAGCTCTTCATTATCATGTAGCTTTCTACTTAAAATCCTGTAGACCTGAAATGCAGGGAGGCTGGGAAGCACTCCATTTTGGAACAAGTAAATGTAAAATGGGAGCACTTTCTAAGCTTTTTGCTTTGAATTACAAATTTTAACTTATGCTCTTAGATCTTTATTAATGTATTACCAAAGGTGAATTCTTCCCTTCTTAGATGATAATATTAAAGAGAAGGTCTGAATTGGCTCTTAATTCTAGAAAGGGAAAAGAGGAGGGTGATGCTGTACGTGAGCCTGTGCTTATGTTCTGCGGGTTGAGTCTGGTTAGGGATGAAGATATGATGACATGGTAAGAACTCTGAAAGGCTTACTTTTGAGAAAAGTTTGACTAAATCATGCTGATGAAACAGCTGTGGCAACACTTTTGACATCTTCAAAGTTCAGAGACGGGACCTTTCACAGGAGACACACACAAACAATAACAGCCAACACTTACACAGTGCTTCACATATGCCAAGAACTGTTCTAACAATTTACTACATATTAACTAAATTAATTCAGGACAACTTCAAGAGGAAGGCACCACAATTACCCTGATTTTGCAGATGAATAAGGAGAATGAGGCACACAAAGAGATCAAGCAACTTGCTCTTAGCTGGTAGGCGGTAGAGCCTTGACGAAGCAAAGACGTGACCACCCGTGCCAACTGGCTCTACAATCTACATACACTCTTAACCATCATGCTATAATGACTCTCCAATCATCTTCAGCTCATATACAAAAGCTACTTACTAAGTCAAATTAGAAGAGTGCAGCTTTAGAAACAAGTTTAACAAAAACTCTTCTCCCATTCATTAGCTGTAGGACTTGGAGACCATTACCTCTTCTATAAAACGAGGTGAGCAATGCTTACTTTCCATAGTCACTGTATGGAAGAGGCAACATGAGTAAAGCATATAACATTGTGGAAGCACATGGTAGATGATCACATAATCAGAAAATTACATTCTCTGTCCTTATTACTTTTTTGCCACCTATTTTTTTCTCAACTCGTATTTTTTCTTTCTTCTAGTCCATTTCTCCTCCTATCTCTCAAAGCCTAGCCCATTCTACCCACATACATAATCTCTTAGAAGTTTCCTTTCCTACCTCCCCAAATAACAAAAGTTAAGGAATTCTTCCCACACACCCCCAACCCCTGCAAACATCATATATCCCTGAAACACTTGACACTTTTAGAACACATTCTGAAAAGGTCAGCAAGATAACCTATAGTGGACTGGCTAATAGAAATCAAGAGAACAGTCAGAAAAGCACACCTTCTGACCACTAATTTTCATGCAAGTCAGTGGTTAACAACCAGAGAATAGATGAACAGCTTAAGTAAATTTAAAAACTGCTTTCAAACACTTCTTTAAATTTACTTCATTAACACTCTTAATAAAACAGTACTAAGATAAACTGATAATGTCCACAGCTCAAAATTAGCTCACAACCAGCGAATAAGAAATTTTGCTCCTGAGCATAAAAAATCCCTAGGATTCTAACTTTACAGAGATAGTATGTTTCACATAGTCCAGGCCTGAAACAGCAGGAGCTCTTAGTGCCTCTCTTCAGGATGGACACCAAACAGCTAGAACATGTCTAGAAGATGGTGAATCCTACACTACCACATGCATGCCTCAAGAAAAAGCTACAGATGCTAGCTTGGAGAATGGTAAAGTTGGCGTTCTCAAGTTAATTGGGCAAAAATGTAATGAATGCTTACTGCATGTTAGGCATAGTACTAAACAACAGTGGAGGGCATGATGATGAGCACTGGTGAGCTGTGGTCTCCCTTCTTGTGGATAATACAGTCTGGATTAATAATCCCAGTAAAATGTGGCATGAGCTACTCTAGGGGATGAGCGAGGACTGAGGGAGCAGAAAGAAGGGGCAACTAACATAACTGGGAGCAAAAGAGACCTGAGACCTAAAAGATGAAAAGGAGGTAGCCAGGGGAGGTAAAGCTGGGAGGGGAAGTGAAGGAAAAAAAAAGTGTTCCAAAGAAGAAACAATACGGGTGAAGGTTTGGAGGAAAGACAGGAGGACACAGCTATTTCCAGAACCAACATGGCAGGAGCACAGCGTGCGAGGGGAAGAGCAAGGAGAACGAAAGCTAGAGGAATTCACGAGAGCTGTCTACTATCGGAAAGGGCTCCTTCTGTCTGTAGAGGAGACAGAATGACTGTAGAAACTGACATTACCGGATAGAAAATATGGCAGGACAATTTTGACTCGACATGAAGGAAACACGAAGTAGCCGCTGGTGATGCTGAGTCCCTCGTTAACAGAGACGTTCAGGAAGCTGCACAGCCTCTGATGTATACCTTAGAGAGGAGCCTGGCCTATGTGACATCTGAAGTTTTTCCTTACTCTGGGTTCTTTATGGTCTCACCTCACTTATTTAATTATCCAATACTCTACAATATGTATAATAGGTGTAAAAGTTGGAAGAATCCTTTATTGTCATCAAAATTATAATGTCATGAATGAAAGCAGTATTTAGTACCTCATAATCTTTATCACTAAAGTTCTACCGAACTGTGTTCCTTTTAGCCAATGTAAACAAAAACTTCATCATTCGTTCGTTCAACTAATACAGACTGAACCCTTTCCATACATCAGGCGCTGTGCGAGGCAGAGGTGCAATGACAAGCTAAACCGGTCACAGAGCTTGTGGAACTTGCAAGTGAGCGGAAGAGACTGGAAATAATGAAAGAATCGTGAATAAACATAAAATTACAACAGTAACAAATGCCACAAACGAAAAAGACGGTACTGTGAGGGCTTATAATAGGGGAACTGACTTAGCAAGCAAAGTCAGAGGCTTCCCTGAGGACACGATGACTGAGTTGATACCCAAAGGAAGAGCAAGGGATGTAAGAGGGGATGGTGGGAAGAGAACAGAACAGAGGAGTATATCTGCTGCACAAAAACAGGTATATGTGAGGCTGAGAGCACCGTACGAAATGAGGCTGGAGAGACAGGAGAGACCACACAGGTCAAACAGGCCATGGTAAGACTTTTGCTCTTTACCTAAAGAGCAATGTGAAGCCATGGCAGTATTTTATTAAGCACCTGGTGACATGATATTTAAAATCAAACAAAAAACAAACAACCCCAGAAAATCCTGTCATCAGTGGAGAAACGACTTGGTTGGAGGGGAAAGAAGGAAACAAAGTGGTATGAGGAAATCAGTTAGGAGGTTTTTGCAGTAGTCAATGAGAAATATGGCGGTAGCAGGGTGCCTGGGTAGCTGGGTCTGTTAAACGTCTGACTGGCTCAGGTCATAATCTCACAGCTCATGAGTTCGAGCCCTGCGTCAGGCTCTGTGCTGACAGCTCAGAGACTGGAGCTTGCTTGGGATTCCATCTCTGTTTCTCTCTGCCCCTTCCCCGCTCATGCTCTGTCTCTCTCTCAAACATAAACATTTAAAAAACATTTAAAAAAGAAAAAGAAATGTGGGGGTAGCATGGTTGACAAACTCGAGAAGTACCAAATCTCAAGTAATATTTCAATTCAATTTCAGTAGATGTTGGATACTATGTAGTCCCAGAAAATTAGCTAATTAATATAGGTATAGCAGTACTTTTAAATTATATTTAAAATATTTTATTTTTAAATTATATGTTTATAATAAATATAATTTACACCCAGAAAAGTC